CGATTCTACGGTTCACCATGGCAACAGATAAATAAAGGCAAAGCCTCCATTTTAATCGAGTGGAGCTAGAAATATGAATGTGTGCCAACGCAGACCATGATAGGCTCTAGAAGTGGTGGAAGGATCAATACGTTAGCAATAGTAGCCTACTATACAGCGTTGCTCATTCATCATTTACCAGCATTTCCTTAATGAATGATAAAGTTCTGGAATTCTCCTACAGCCCATTACATTCATTTTAAATCGGAAGGCTATATTTAATAAGCTGTAACCAGACAGGACAAAATGCTGCTGGCGACGGGCTACCTGAAAATATAGATCAAATATAATACACAGTTTACTCATGAACCTGTGATTGTAAAGTCACAGTCACATCCAGTAGCCTATTAATAATTTTTTTACAGTGGAAAATGTGTCTATAGGTTCAAACTGACTGTAAAGTTTTAGACGTCTATTTTAAATTAATAATTGCTGTCAAAACACATTCAGACTGTCAGCAGCCTGTTATAATGAAAAACTCACTTTTAAACTACATTTAGGCCTGTTTGTTTCAGCGGCGCCACAGTCACATCTCCAACATGATAACTATGATAGGAATGTTCCAATCAGTGCGGCTACAATATGAAAGATTACTGTTCATTGATCAGTTTTGGTTTAAACAGTGATTACTGCAGTAATGTAGCCCACAGTAAGTGTTTTCAGTGCAACTGTTCACAGAGTCACAGCGTTATACCTAAAGACGGACATGTGCGGAGATAACTCTCTGTCCATACATCGATGACAGATTGATCATAAAGCGGTCATGTTCAAGATCATGTTTGGGTAACAAACTAATAGCCTAGCTAACCGGGATTTTAAAGTTTTTTAAGATGTAAATGCATCAGATATGTGCTTTGATATCGACAGCATGAATGAGGAAATGAACAGACAGCCGCCTCAGGCTCCGCAGGAGGGAACTTATCCTGTGATCCTAACCGAGGAGGTTAGGTTGGTGGTTCAGTCTCCGGCTCCTCCAGTCTCCATGTTCTCTGTTGTATTCGGTTACATTCGTCCTTGTGTCTTGTCGGTAGCTTTGCTTCTTATTAGGGGAACAAGCCCGAGTGGGCTGGAAACCCGTGAATGCAAGGCATCGGATTTCCCAGTACCAGCGAAGCGGCTGGGAACCCTATTGTAATCGTTCTCGTTTTTATTAGTTTTTTTTAATTCTTCCGCCGCTAATTCCACTACTGCAGCCTAGACAGTAACTGCTAGGGACGCGAAACTCATAGGGTAGGTACAAACCCCTGCAAGTAACTCAGGCGCAAAAATCTGAATACTTCTACCTCTAGGAGGCGCTATAATCAAGGTCAATGCGTTTGGGCTTGGAACTCTTGCCTACGAAGACGGATATCAAAAACCTTATATCCACGTGTTCGGGGGATCGAGCTGATTCTCGTCGTATAGGCCCCGCCCATTCCCGCCTAAACTTTTTTTCAGCAAAATCACGAAAACTGCTAAACCTATTTTAATTAACTCCTCCAAAGCCATAAGTCCCATCAGCACCAGACTTAGCACGGACCATCTCTGGTTTTGATCTGCCAAAAACGGACGAATTATAGGCTAACAAATGTTTGCGCAAACGGTAAAAACAGGATGTCATGTCAGATCTTATGTTTGCAATGGCCGATCTACACCAAACTCGGGGACCTTATCTGTCACGCCCTCCCGAGAGGCTGTGTGAAATTTGCCGTCAATCAGCCTCTAGGTAGCACTATCAATTGGAAATCGAATAACACTCCCTAGTTAACACTCTCTAGTTTTATTTTGTAATCATGGTGTCGCATTCAACTGTGGATTTTTAAATATTTTGCCTGTTTTGGATTGTTTGATTGTTTTGGACCTTGGTTTGGATATTACCTGAACCATTTTTGGTACACCCTGAGTTGTTCCATAGGTATGAAATAAATATCACAAACTGTACTCTCTGGTGTTTGGGTCATAAGCGTTTCTGTCACTTGGCCGAACCTGACATTTAGACATGACCACTGGCAGATGGTAGGCATATGTCCTCTGGGACATGTACTTTCCTACCTGTCCAACAGTGCCAAGAGTTTGATAAGGCACTGGCAGCTAATCTCCGGTCAACTAGCCTGCTGACTAGTACCCCAGTTAGCTACCAGTCTGCTAGCTGCCAACTAGCAAGCCCCCAGCCTAAAACCCAGCCTGCCAACATAATAATTAACCAGTCTGCACCTTGACCCGGACTTCCAGCGTGACTTTGAGGGGGCTAGCCTGGCCATCTTCACTGGAACCAGTGGAGACCATAAAAAGAGACGTGGTCGTCATGGCTCTCAACGTTCCTGGAACCCCTGAGCAGCTGCAAACCCTGGATGCTTGTGATGCAGTATCCTGACCCTAAAAAACTGTTGTTGCCACCTGCTCTTACTGAGCTACAGGCCACTAGCTCCCTCTGAAATACTGCAGCAACCCCAGACTACGTTCAACTGCATTCCCAGGACTTTGTGCAGCAGAGCCAACCTTGCAGCACCTCTTTTCCCCGAGCTGCAACAAATACAGTTCCCCAAACTTGATGAACAACTGCAGTCCCCTGCTTCTGTTGAGCAACAGTCACCTTTGGTTACCCATGAAGGGCATTAGTCCGTATGGCTGCTGCAACCCTCAGACTCTGTTATGCAGCACCAGCCCCTGGATCTAATGGCCCCTTCTGCTCACTTGGCTGGCTTCCAGTACACGCCAGCCTCCAGTCCAGCTGTTCCGTTGCGGTCTTTAGTCCTGTTGCCCTGTTGCCCTGTCACTGGCCTTCAGCCATGCTGTCCAGCCACCATTCATTGGCACTGTAAATGCAAATGTAAATGCTCCGTATTTGTATAGCGCAGCTGGCCACTTTATTAGGTACAGTGAACTCATTGTCATGTTCAAGAAACCAGTTTGAGATGATTTGAGCTTTGTGACATGGTGCATTATCCTACTGGAAGGAGCCATCAGAAGATGGTACACTGTGGTCATAAAGGGACGGACATGGTCAACAACAAAAACCCTACCCTCTGAATGTTGCAGCTTATATCGAGACTCATCAGACCAGGCAACATTTTTAAATCTTCTATTGTCTAGTTTTGGTGAGCCTGTGTGAATTGTAGCCTCAGCTTCCTGTTCTTAGCTGACAGGAGGGGCCCCCGGTGTGGTCCTCTGCTGCTGTAGCCTATCTGCTTCAAGGTTGGACGTGTTGTGCGTTCAGAGATGGTGTTCTGCATACCTTGGTTGTAACGAGTGGTTATTTGAGTTAATGTTGCCTTTTTGTCACCTGGAACCATTCTGCCCATTCTCCTCTGACCTCTGACATCAACAAGGTGTTTTCGTCCACACAACTGCCGCTCACTGGATATTTTCTCTTTTTCGGACATTTCTCTGTAAACCCTAGAGATGGCTGTGTGTGAAAATCCCAGTAGATCAGCAGTTTCTGAAATACTCAGAGCAGCCCGTCTGGCACCAACAACCATGCCATGCTCAAAGTCACTAAAATCCCCTTTCTTCCCCATTCTGATGCTCAGTTTGAACTTCAGCAAGTTGTCTTGACCACGTCTACATGCCTAAATGCATTGAGTTGCTGCCATGTGATTGGCTGATTAGCTATTTGTGTTAAAAAGCAGCTGAACAGGTGTACCTAATAAAGTCACCGGTGAGGTCTTAAGATCACCTTATGTTTTGTATGTAAAATCTAAATCTTTAAAGAGCTAGTAACTTTAATATGTCATGTAGTTGCATATGAAGTATAAATATTTCCCTCTAAATTGTAGTGAAGTGGTCACCTAAAGGTTAGAGACTTGTTGTCAATTTAATTCCCAGACCCGCAGGATAAAATCTGGGTGTGGAAAGTGAACAAGCAGTGCTTCCCCTCCCTCATTATCACCACTGAGACGCCCCATAATCCCAACCGCTCAGGTGGAGCTGCTCAGTGGCCAGCAGACCAGACTGGGGTTGTACTGGGCAGCTTCCAGGTGTGAATGTGTAACTGTGTGAATGTGATCAGGGCGTTGCTGAGACGCATCCTCTCAGTGAAACTTCCCAGAATAAATAAAGGGTAAAAAAAAAAGTACCTCAAAACTGTATGTATACAGTACTTCAGTAAATATATTCAGTACTTGAGTAAATTGTACTTAGTTACATTCCACCACAGTGAAATAGTCAAAAGGGGTGACCAGTTGTTACCTATATCTTGAAACCTATGGCCAATATCAAGCACCAGAGAACCCCAGTTCAGAACGGTTGTGCCTCAGTATGTCCAGCCAGCTTTCCAGTCTGCTAGCAACCAACCTGCACTCCAGTAGATTAGGTTTGGGTTGGTGAGCCTGCAGCCTGCAATCATACTCGGTAGGCCATTTTAATAGGAGGCCACTAAAGAAGGTGTGGTCGCCATGGCTTCCTACACACCGTCAGTGCTGCTCAGCGCCACAGAGACTCAGTTGCCCAGCACCTCGGCCTCTTCGCTGCCGAGCTACAGAGCTGCCACCGGCTCTGGGTTGCCCCTATTGGCAGCCAGGTCAACACCTGTTCCTGAGCTGCAGCAATCTGCTGAGCTTGAGCTTAAGCAGCCTCCTGTTTCCCTGGCTGCAAGTACTGAATTGCCCCTTGCAATCATTTTAATCCAAAAATTAAAATATAACCAGTTGTTTGTCAGTGTCAAGTCAGTGTTTGACTTGTTGATTTGGTACACAAACGGTTAACAGCTCTCTGCTCTGTGCTGTGTTGTACTGAGGCTGTAGGCTGAGTAAAGGTAACACAAATGCAAAATTAAATTTTGTTATTCTATTATTACCTATTCTATTCTACAAGCAAAGAAGCCATGCTACCTACATGAATCCAAATTTCCCAATGTCAGCCTCCATTTTTACATTAGGCTCTAATGATTTTTCACATGTCCATAATAAGTTAATAACTTTAATACGCTGTCGTCATCAGTTATCACCTGACTGGCCAGTGACAAGGCAGCGCGTGACGTCGGCGCTGCCAGCGTGGAACGGACGTCGCGCGTCAAGTCAGGAAGTAAAGTGTCCGGTTCAGCCTGCGGAAATCGGAAAGAAGTCAGAGCTGGAAATACGTGTCAGATTCAACATTTCAGCTCGCTTTCCCGAACAGTTGTGAAGGGACGCCGCGACGTTTCCCGGCCACAGATTGTCTGCGTCCCATTCCGCAGCAGACCCGCTCAGGCTGTCAGCGGTGGGCAGTGAAGGTAAGCAGAGCTCCGGCAGCGGCCAGTCCGCTGCTAGCTGGCCCCCTGTGTGAGCTCTGAGCTCTTCCTCCATGAACATGACAGCAGCAGTGCACCTGTCAGACGCGTGCCACGTACATGGAGATACGTAACCTATACAGTGAAAAAAGACCGTTACAGTGTGTAACTTCTCTGTAACTTAATGCACGCTGTTGTTGGTGTACCAGGTAGTTCATCTTAATGTGTGGAATAGCACTTTCTCAAAACAGTCAGATTAAAAGGAATGCTATTAGCTAGGTAGAAAGTAAAAACATTACAAAACTAATAGAACAATGATGGAATAAAAGTGCTATTATATAGCCTACACAGATATTATTATATATTATTTGTATTACATCTCTTAGCCTAATTACGTTCTAATTACAAAACAGATATTAATTTAACTGTAATAAGTGAATATTGTAATAATAGCTATAATAAAACAGAAACATACTAAAGTATAAATACAATGTCCACATTGTGATTTCTTAAAATTGCTAATTTTGGTGTCAGTTTTTAAATAACACACTGTGATCCATATATTGAGATATTGTGTCATATTTGATTTTAAAAGTAACTTTTGTTTATCAGTGTATAATGTGATAATTAATGTGTAATGTTAGTATTTTTTAAGGGTTATAATTGTAGTATATTATATAATTGCATAGTATTCACTTCAGATCAAAGTTGTATTTCCTTGTTTTAGAGACTTCATTACAATTAAATGTCACAAGTTTCTGAACTTAAAGATAAATAACATTTTTAACACTTAAATTGTATGACAGCAGCTTACTAACATACTTATCTCTAAAAGGACATCACTGTAATCATTACAGTTACACTGCCCCCAAATCCCCACATTTTCTCTCTTTGAGTTAAAAAATAGCAACAAGAACTGGAACGACATTTTGTAATTATTGGGTACTTACATAAAATATGATTAAGTTAAGTTAGTTAAACCATTTTCATGTCAAGGACTGTTAAGCTGCTCAACCAGTCACATTTTAAATAGTACTTAGGCAATGCTTTTATCAGACTTTGTGTCGTTGGTCTCTGTCCAAAGTAAACACTGATAAACACTGAATGTGCTAATGAAGTGTCCACACCCATTTGTATGCTCTTCTGTATGTTACAGTTGAAGCCTGAAATTACAGCCTATTGACTATATAGACTTGTTTACTTTTAATGTGGGCTAGATTGGAAGAGTTAAGGTAGAATTAAATAGCTTAAAACTGTGACTCTGGTGAAATAGAGAAAATTAAGACAGAGTCTACGGCCACACTACGAAGGCTGCTCTGTGATGGCGTATTTAGGCACAGCGGTGCTTTGAGCTAAATGCTAAGGTCAGCATGCTAACATGTTCACAGTGCCAAAACATGCTGATGCTAAGCAAGTGCAATGCTTTCTATGTTAGCATGCTAACATTTGCTAATCAGGACTAAACACAAACAAAGTGCAGGTATTTGGTCATAACGTAAAGTGTTGGACACATTAACATGTTGACCTGAAGATGGAGCAAGATGAAAAGTCAGAGGATCCCCAAAGTTATTAAAGTTTATCCTGAGGGGAATTGTCCTTGATTTTTGTGCTTATAGTATGGTTAAGTAGTTGTCTGTTTTAACTGTGTTTATTGTTGATATACAATCGGGAGTCTGCAAAGGGTGTTTTATTTTGAAAATCTACCAGATTCTCTATGCTGTTCTGTGTCTGACTTCCTGCCCGGTTAATCTGCTCTGTGCTGCTTGACGCGGCTTCCATCAAAAATAGACTGGCAGTGAATAAAACTAAACTTCAGTTGAAAATAAATCGCAAATCAAATTGTAATTGCAAAATCTGGCAGCAGATTAGATTTTTTCCCCCAAATCGCTCAGCCCTAGTGGCGCTAGAGGAAACGTTAGGGATGACCATCATTAGGATTCATCTTCAAATGTGCCAGTCAATTCAGTTGCTGTGGAGATATTTCAGGGGATAAATGAAAACTTGCCATGCTGAGAGTGCTAGTAAAGGGTTCAGTGAAATGCATTTTCATTTTTTACAGATTATGTTTTTATTTTTTCCCAAATTCCGTGTTTTCTGTTTTAACCCTGCAACCCTAACCCATCTGTTTGTAAAAGAAAGGAAATTGTATATTGCTGGTGAGGGATTAAGCAAATAATTGAGTTACAACAAACCATTGTCTTTGAAGAATGTATTTATAAAAGACAATAAACAGTAAAGTACTATACAGCTGCTCCAACACATACAGCTGCTCCAACACATACAGCTGGTCCAGAGACCTGCCGCCTAGGGCGGCTTCGGGCGTCTGGCCCCGAGCAAAGGGATGAATAATCATTTACACAGTCTAGGCTTCTATGCTTTGAGGAACAGAGATCCTCTCCTGGCCTTAAATGAACATTCAAGGCCAGGAGAGGAACAACAAGAGGGAGAAAACACTAAATAAACTCACAGTTCTGACCTAAACCCTACATATATGAGCAGACTAATAAAGAGTATAATAATAAGAAAAGGTAATTGGTATTAAAAGGTTATGGTATAAAAAACACAAACACATATATATATATATATATATATATATATATATATATCTTTAAAAAAAAGTAACAAGCTGTTGTTGCAATATGTACCAAAACGTATGGAACTGCTTGATGAGCTAGGACTGTCTGTCCACTTTAAGTCTTTCTTCTGTCACTGACCTCTCCGTTGAAGTACTTGATTGTCAGCCTCTTTGTGTTTAGCTCAGTGAGTGCCTCCCGCTCCACTGGAGCCTTGTATTGGCAGAATCTCCTCTCACAGTCAACTGGGCTGACTGGGAAGTACATGTAAGGCACTGCTATCCGTGCAACCCTCAGAAATCTCACGCTCAGACCCCTCCAAGATTCAGCAAGATCCAAACCAGGTGTGAAGGGATCCCTTGACACACAGTGCTGGCAATCCATTCTTCACTAAGCTCTCAGAGCAGTTGTGTGTAGGCATCAGTCTGCTTTTCCATGGCTGGAGCCTCCTGTGATCAAACACCCTAACCACCCTGTAGATCTCTGGATGTGTGTTCCAGTGCTTTGACAACTTTGTGAATGCCAGCTAGAGTTCATCATGGAGACGGCTGAGCACCTCTCTCCTCTCCTGAATCCCTGTCTTTGTCATTGGCTCATCTGCTTTGGCACCATTCCCATATGGATTTGGACATCTCCATAAAGAAACTGAAAATTGCGTGTTGCTCCCGGTACAGGGTACGGACATGGTACTTCCGTAAAGCAGTGTAAAACTGTTTTGCAAATTATAGTCTGTGCAAATTCTTGTGGGCCACATAAAATGAGGTGCTGGGCCAGATTGGCCCATGGGCCTTGAGTTTGACATCTGACCCAACAATGTGGTGCTCTGTAAGCTTTGTATCACAGCAGTAAAACTATCATGCATAAACACTGTGACAAGCGAAAAGTCCCTGAGCACTTTGTCAACAAGGCAGCGGCAGCAGGACAGCGCCGCAAATCCTGTTTAGCTTTTTGTCCCCACCCTAACATGATCTATTAGGATTATCAAAACGAGTAACATCTTGCTGTTCATATCACAAATGTGCTAACTAGGTAGCGGGAACACAAGGGACTGAACCTAAATGCAGATACTGGAGGCAGAGCAGGTGCCGTTCAGAGATTCAATTACAAAGTCAAAGTACAGAAAGCTTACAGGATGGTAAGGCGGGCACAGGTCTAACCCACTGAAGGCAGTCCAGGCAAACAAATCCATCAGGGAGCAGGAGAAATCCAAAATCCAAAAACAGGCAAGGTCCAAGAGAACAAAGCAAAGATCCAGAAAGGACACTTTACACAAAGGACAAAGACGAGCTGGCACTGAGACAAAGGAACACACAGTAAACACTCTAGGGAGTAAAGGAACACGACGCACAGGTGAAACAGGGGCCTTGCTGCTCTCATGGTAACATAATGTAACGTTGTTCTTAGGCAGTAACGGCGTGTTTGAGTGAGAAAATGAAATGACTGTTGTTACAGTCTGTAAATCATCTCAGTTAGTTCCTAAAAATCCATTAGCCAGTGCCTATCTTGCTTATCATGTTACTCAGTGATGAAATAAATCCATGTCAGAACCTGAAGCTTTAAGTCAAGTACTTCTGTAAAAATACTGATTCTCCAGTTCAGAGAAGGGTTGACATACAGCAGTGACTCATTTTAAAATACACTGCTACTACATTTTAATGTGCTTTATGTCTCTCTTTCAGGATGATGGTTGAATAAAATACTGAAATATTAATGGAATGGAATAAATTGTTAGATGAATCGACTAATCGAAAAGAAATAGTTCCACCACTAATGCAAATATGCATATAGAGATATACAATGGATAATGTGCAACTATTTATGGGGAGTCTTCACAATAAATGTTTTATAGTACTGTAATACTGTTTAGGGGACAATTCACAATAATGCATTTCAACAGTAGGTTATTATAATACTATTGCATTTATTGTAGTAAGTATTGTAGCAAGTAACGACTATTTTGATAATCGATTATTGAAACGAATAATCGGCTATTCGGATTATAAAATTGCAAAATTACACAATGGTTCTCATTTTTAAATTAAACTTGAGCAGTACAGTCAAGACAATAAAATTAATACTGCTTTCAAAAATACATCTGTTAATGAACGTTTCTGCTGCAGCAACATAAAATTCCACAGATATCAAGTCCTGTCATAGACCAAACAGGTACGCAGTAAGCAACAACAGTGTGTGTGCAGCGCTGTGCGAGCCCTCATCTGAGCAGCTGATCTGCTGTCTAGTGACGGAGCAGTTTACACGCCGGCACTGCAACACACTGGGACAAACTGACACTATATTTATATACAAAGAAAAGAATAACATCATGCATTACATTTGTTGAAAAGCGGGCAGAGCCTTTAATGGGTGTGTTTCACAGGTATAATATGTTTACTGTAAGTGAGGATCAGGCAGCCTGTTCAGACAGAGCAGATGCCGGGGCTGGGTACAGCTATATTTTGGTGTTTTCATGGCTTACTCTCCTCTCTCACTGCATATACACGCTAACATGGAACAAACAATGGAGACTGTATTGTTACTTGCTGTGAGCACAATATCAGTGTGTCTAAATGTGTGTAGACTTGTACACACTCGATTAAATGTGTTGCACTACATAATGATTTTGAAACGTTTGTCTTTATTTTCTCTTTAACTCTTTCCCAGCACACTCACACACCAAACACACCCAGAAACACCTTTGATGATGGTGGACTCCACGCTTACTCAAGTGGGCATGAATCTGAGTGAAGCCATGAGAATCTTGGGAGACAGACAGAGGTAAGATTAGAGACTTATTCCTTTCATTTAGAAAACAAGCATCTGATGATCCTGTGACGTCAGTGAAGATGAGAGGGAACCCTTCTGCCTCTTTTAGCCCAGCGTCGCACATTAACACTCTGCACAATCATAGCACATACAACTTTTTCACAAGTACCACCGGAACACTAGCAAAACATAAAGCATCTCTATGTCCATTTTACAGTACAGTGAATTTCCCAACAAGGAGCACATGAATGCAACCTTTTTGTGCTGTGCGTCTGTTTAGAGAACAGGAGGCTGGAGCAGAGAGGCGGCCCTTCAGCAGAACCAGCATCCCTGGACCCCTGCAGGCAGAGTAAGACACACATGCACGTTTGTTCCTCTATCCCTGTGGGAACATCTCATTGATATAATGCATTCCCTAGCCCCTCACACTAACCTTAACCATCACAACTACATGCCTAAGCCTTACCCTAACCCCATCGGTTAGTGTGCATTCAGGTTAAAGTCCCCACCGGGATAAAAAAACATGAAACACACACACAAAGCGCTAATATTTTCAGCCCAACTGAAGCCTGGTTTAATCAGTAAAGATAACTAGTTTAATTATTTATACAAAAGGTGGGTTGAATCAATGGCAACAGGACTTGATTGAAGAAAAGTCTTCAACTATCTTGAACCAAGTCCAGGGGCCCTTGATTTGAACCAGCCTTGGATAACATCTTTACAGATAGCTTAATTGTAACTTGTTTGCTTAAGACCTCCTTAATGACCTCTATATGGTGGAAATGGTGTACTGTTTAATTTCTCTGCTGATGTTATGTCTTTAGTGAAGTGTTAAATTTGGTATCTTCATCTTTCATTTTAGTTTTTTATGACATTTAAATACAATTTAGTATTGCACTTGCATGAATCTGGAGAACTTAAATAATGATTGGTCAAAATCAAAGCTTCAGGAAAACGCTGGATCCCTTAATTTCCAAATTCCAACAATATAGATTCCTTTATCATACTTTTCCTCTGTCAATCAGTGGGATAGCACAAACTTTTTTGCAGGTATGTGTATTAAATTGTACGTGTGTGTATCATAGACTGTATATAAAGATGGACGCCACATCTCCACTTCTTCCCTCTGTACAAAAATGACGCCTAAATATCCCAGACACGGGCGCTGCCATCTTGCGCTGGTGAAGTCTTTTGTCTGCACAGTAGTGATCAGGGTCAGAGCCGTGGTATCGAGGTCCAGTCCATACACCCAGCCTATCTAACCACAAGTAGGGTCAGCTGTCAATCATGATGTGGAAGCCCATTTTTGTAGGAAATTACTAATTTAAACCAGACTTATTGGACATATGAACACTTTAACAAATATCAGTGTGACAAGAATTAGCTAAAATGACAGAAACCATCTCTGGGAAAAATGTATTTGACGTGTATTTTGTTTTTATTGGCCCTTTTGCTAACATGAAGTGTGTGCACGTGTCCAAAGCAAACGGGGACCTGCTCATGAGAACATTGCTCCATAGTGCTACGAGAGGTCAAAAACACCTTTAAAGTCTTCTCTAGTCAGCCAATAAATGTATTTTTCTAGTGTATTTTAAGTAGAGTGCTTTAAGTAGGAACTAACCAAACTAAATCAAAATGTATAATCATTAATTAATTATACTCTGACTGCTGGCGCAAAGCAGTACATCATTTATTAATAATAAGGACACGTATATAGAAAACAATGAATTATTATTTGATAAAACACTATCGACTTTCAACTGTATTTCAACCACAAATTGTTGCCCATAGAGTGTGTGTGTGTGTGTGTGTGTGTGTGCGTGGCAGTTAACTGAGTCTCTTCTAGGTCAGTAATGTTAACAGAATAACAGTAATGTCAAAAGATTAACATTAGACACAACACTCTTATCACTGTTATGAAACATGTGTTTGCAGTAGTAAAATGTGGAAAATGCAGCAAATGTAAATTTACTTTGACTTTTGGAGCAGTTAACACTGGAGACGGTGGGCACTGGGTGGCTCTCTTGTCAGTTTGAAGCTCATTCAGCAATGTGTGTAAGCCTGGTTACGTGGATAGGTACATTTAGTACAGGTTTGTTACCGACTTGAGGCTTACAAGTGTGTATATATTGTGCTAAAGCTAATGATTTGTTTATTTGCGTCTCCTGTGCAGTGGTCAGGATGTTGCCTCTATACTGCACCTAGTTCACAACCTCATACATGAAGAGGAGGAGGAAGAGGACAAGCCCAGCCAACAGTAAGTAGAACTGTAGACTGTTACAAGTGAACCATTTCATTTCTGGACACTTTATTAAATCATGTTGAATCCAAATCCATTACTATGTATATGTATATGTATATGTGTGTGTGTGTATATATATATATATATATATATATATATATATATATATATATATATATATATATATATATATATATATATATATATATAGTAACTATGATTAAGATGATGTCAGATTTAGTGTAATTTTAGTAGTATTTAGTATGGGATGTAAAGTCTTGAGAGTTAAAAAGCTGAGTCATGGCAGGCATCACATTTACCCACATCAAAACACATTCTTTTACATGCATGGTTAGTGTCTGCCTTCTATGTGAAACACCCAAAATGGTCTGCTTGCTAGAAGGAAGGAAAGAAACACTGGGAGGAGAACTGTTGTATTTGTATAGCACCTTTCTAGTCTTTTCGACTATTTATACTACTTCTGCATTCACACACTGAGCCACTGAGCCTTCTCAAACAGAAACTAACATTCACACACTGGCAGAACAACCACCAGGGGTTCAATTCAGGGTTCAGTATGTTGCCCAAGAACACTTCGACATGTGGCCTCAGGGAGCCGGGGAGCTCAGGAGGTAGAGCGGGTTGCAAACACAGCCGTTCCAATGCAAGCCAATGTAGTTTTACTGAAATCAGAGAACAAAGACTTTTTCATGGAATTAAGTAAGGAATGAGGGGAACAGACAGCCCTCAGTTTAAAGCATATGATAACTCTGCTGTTTGATTTCTCCAGTAGGATGCAGAATGTGGGTGAACAGGGTCACATAGCCTTGTTGGGTCATAGCCTGGCAGCCTACATCTCGGTGTTGGACAGAGAGCGACTGCGGAAGCTGACCACTCGGATCCTGTCTGACACCACACTGTGGCTCTGCAGACTGTTCAGGTAGGCCTGTGGCTACAGCCCTGTAGTACAGCTTCAGATGGGAGAAGGACATGATGGTTACGCAGTAAAAACCAGCATCACCAGGAGCACTTATTATAGAGATTGCATTGTGGGACAGAATAACAGGTTACATCATAGCAGTTTCCCCTGCCATTATATACTGTAAATGTAATCATATGACAGTAAAAACAATGTGACAGGTATCAGATGGTCTATCTGAACTGTATCAAATATTCAGAATCCATATGTATACAAAAATCAATATTTTTGATAATACTACTCCCTGGTACTTGTAGTTTCCTAAACCTTTCTGATACATCCTACTATAGCAGAGTCATCAGAGAAGTTGAAGATAAAGTTTGTACCAGAATAGGTTTAAATGTTTTTTTCATGAAACACCTTATTTTTGTCCTACTGCACATTGCTGCAGCTCCTCTTTTCACCCCGTGTGTTGAACTTCTATCCGATCTTTGTTGGGAGTTGCGCGTGCACAGTACCTAATTAAGGGCTACTAGCCAATCAGAAGCAGAGTAGGGTGGGTCCTGACAAGTAATGTAGTTTGATCCAAAACAAAGGCAATTCAGCCGGTAACCACGGCTTCAGTTAAACTGTAGTCTGATCCAGAAACACAGACTGACCGACCCGAACCAGTTTCACAGCCTGAACAGGAGCTAGACGTTTGAGACTGTTTAGTTGTTAATTTGTAAAAATGTATGTTTCAAACGTAACGTTTTAACTGTGCACTGTCTCTACACAACAGTACCAGCTTGACTGCGTGGAGAGTATTTAACATTTTTTATTTTTTATATTCAATTAGCTTGGTTTGTGGGCGTGCCACACTAGCCGATAGGTGAGCATTATGACACGTGTTACAAAGTGACGCCGATAGGTTACAGAATCCAGCTGTTCAGGCAGTTCGGGAGCAGTGTTTTCTGTGGGAAATGGGAACGCCCTTTGCGGTGGACAGTAATATAAAATGCTGTGTGTGAGTGAAAGTATTTTGATTCTGTGTCGTTTGTTGTCTTTGTAATAACTTTGAGCCAAAATACACTGGTGGAGCCTGGTTAATGTTACTTTCTGCTTTCAGTACTCTGTCTTTATAAACCAATCTAATCCGTCCCTCAGATACGAGAGCGGTACAGCCTACTTCCATGAGGATGACAGGGATGGCCTTGTCAAAGTGTGTCGGCTGGTCATTAATGCCCGTTATGAAGAATATGCCTCTGACGGCTATGCAGTCCTCAGCTCCAAACAGCCAGTCATCTACCAGAGCGCCTCCGGCAGGCCTGGCCTGGGACAGCATCTGTGCAGCCAGGTAGGAAGGGCGGAGCACACAAACTCACGCACCACATAAATTATGAGGGTTTTTTTTTTGTAGAAACATATATAGATGTTGGTGGGCCAAATCTGTAACTTAGATACATGCATATGTATATGATATTAGCATTCAGTATTACAAAGTCAGATTTTACTGTATTTTATTTATTTGCAAACATGATAGAAAGTGATTTTAATGTCAGTCTCTGTGTCATTAGCTCGGACTGCCTCTTTCTAGTTTGTGCACAGTGCCATGCAATACCATCTTTGGATCCCAACACCAAATGGTAGGAGAATTCAAATGAACACTTTCAAACCACACTTTCAGATTGTTAAAAAGAATTAGTTTTGACTCTCATCCTGTTTGTCACTGGCAGGACGTTGCACTGTTGGACAAACTAATCAAAGAGGACATAGAAGCTAAGAAGCTTCCTTTGCTGTTGATCGCCAATGCAGGTGAAGGAAACTCACAGTTCAACACCATCCTTTCCACTATCTACACATGTGGAACATCACAGGAGTTGGAAATAGTAAATCAGTTGCATATGAGACTTTCTTCTGCTGTTGAAATGTTTGTCATTTGTATGTGTTTTTTCCCAGGTACCCCTGGGGCAGGACATACAGACAAGTTGGGTCGTCTGAAGGACCTGTGTGATCAGTACAACATGTGGCTCCATGTGGAGGGGTGAGTCAATTCTGTGTCTTAAATAGATGATCTTTGTGTTTGCACCTCATTATCAGCATTCAATCATCAAATGAATTTAAATCTCTCATAATGTTCATGCAACTGGAAATAAAATCACACCAGTGTCAGTGCAGCTTAAGCACATACAGTGTATGCCCACCTGCTACTTGATGCCATTAGGTGTTGCCTGAGTTTGTGGCTTAAAGCAGTCCAAAGGCATGGCACACAGTAGAACATTTAATAGAGACGTTGTAATTCATCATTCATTAAAGACACTAATGTCATACAAAGAATATAATACTTTCTAATTTGTTTAATGTTGTTAATTATGCAGCATAACCTTTAATAATAAGAATGTGGAATAAATAGAAATGATTTACCTCTGGCATGAAGTGCCTGTTCTCACTGCTGTAATGTGGCATTGTGTTTTCTTCTTCTTCAGGGTCAACCTGGCAACCCTAGCATTGGGTCAGGCCACCTCTACTATCACGGTAAACTAATGTTAAAACACACTCTTCTTGTTAATGAAAGTGCCATCAAACCTTTGCAGGAGGATTTTGTCCTCCATTGCTTGCTTGCTTTGAAATAGACCTGAATGATTAATAGTTTTCAAACTGCCATATTTAAAGAACGCGATTAGCTAATTGTGAAGACGACAATTCAAATGTAGGTTAATTATACAGTGCATCTGACCCGTTTTAAACAGTGAAGCAGTTACAAATTCCTTCGGTTCCTATCCTTGTGTCACAGACCTGCTCGCCAATCACAAGCGCCATGCTTCTCCTATGGGTCCTACTCACCAATCAGAGCGGTCACAGGGCGTGTACAATTTACAACAACAAACAAAACTAGAGGAAAACTTGGGATAATTGCATCAGCCAAACAGACTCTGTGCCGCAGTTTTGTCCGCCGTCAACTCACACTGAAGTGTGAAGTGTTTCAGCAGCGAAGCGTTTAGCCAGCCCTACGCTGTGGACGTGTTGTTAATTTATCCTTTCTTCTGCTTCAACTACGGATAACAGCTCTCTGTGAGCTGCGCCCGTGCTTCTCTCCGTGGGCTACATTTCCCACATGGAGCATTTCATAATAAGAGCGTTTTGCCTGCCTGATTTTGTCAATTTGTTCGGTTGTCCTTGATTTCTGTGTTTCTGCCATGGTTAAGTAGGCTATGTAGTTAAAATGTTTATTATGTTTTAACTGTGTTTATTGTTGATACACGATCGTGAGTCTGCACAGGGTGTTATTTTGAAAATCGACCGGGTTCTCTATGCCGTTCTGTGGCTAACTAACTGCCTGAACTGCCTTAGCTAAACATTAAAAAAACGCAAATCAAATCAAACGCTAATCTGGCAGAAAAATCGCAATTAGATTTTTCCCCCGAATCGTTCAGCTCTACTTTGAAATCCCTTCAGGAAAGGGATTTCCAGCTTCTGATGAAGCCACACACCCAGGAAATGCCAACACATGTTGACTTTCTGTGTTCTGTCCCCTCCAGGCAGCCACCAGAAGTGACAGTATGACACTGACACCAGGTCAGTGGCTGGGACTGCCGGCTGTAACTGCTGTCACTCTCTACAGACATGAAGACCCAGCACTGGTAGGCTCATTCACGTTCATAGAATTATTGATTCAACACAGCAGTACATGTTTTTGGTAGTTTTTGTGGCATTTTGTGGTTGTTTCCTTCAATAGCCATTAGTTGCTCTACCAATGTTGATATTTGTTAATTTCATTAAGGTTAGTTGTATTCTGTTCAGCACTCCAAGGCCAGTGTTTTTGTCGTTCTCTAAATGGCTCACTGCTCTGCGCTTGTGTCTCAGTCTCTGGCAGCAGGTTTGACCTCCAGCCAGCCGGTGGCGAAGCTGCGAGCGCTGCCTCTCTGGCTGTCCCTGCAGTACCTTGGTCACAATGGAATTGTTCAAAAGATCAGACACGCCACCGCTCTGGTGAGCATCACTTAAGTCCCCCTAAACCTCAAACATGTAGACATGAAGGCTGAAGCGTGTTCATTAGGAGGATCTATGTGTGGGAGGTGTTTCTCGGTACAGGGACTGTGTTCATCTTCCTAGAGTGTTGTTGTTACAGTAAGGTTGTTAGGTTTGGTACCACCCAACTTGTACAGAGACCAAAACCAAACCTGTGCTCATCGACCATAATCTGGTAATTTAGGCTGTTCCCAGAGACGCTGTACTGGCTGTGTACCATTTAAAGACATAGATAAAAGTGTTAATTAGTGAGCTTTAGATGTTTCGGTTTGTACAGAGCACTGTTACCTGTTCCCCCCCTGCTTCCAGTCTTTATTTTTAAGATAAATTTGTGGGCTTTTTAGCCTTTATTTGGATAGGACAGAGAGAAGTTTGAAATGATGGAGAGAGGGAAAGACATGCTGCAAAGGGCCCTAGGCTGGAATCAAACCTGAGTCCATGGCTATAAGGACTAATCCTTGCACCTAGGGCGGCCACTTCTAGTCTTTATGCTAAGCTAGGCTAACCACATGCAGTCACCAGTTTACACACACAATCGGCAATGATCTTCCATTCACTTAAAATGTTTAAATAATTCAACTATTTGTTAGGCAATAAAATCATATTCTTTGCTTTGTTAGATGTGGAATATCAGTCATCTCACCTGATTGTCTCTCCCCTCTAGAGCCAGCAGCTCCTGCAGAAGCTGAAAACTCTGGCCTCCATCAAAACATCGGTAGGTGTTCTCTTAATGCTCTGCTATAAATGATAACATAATGTCTACAATGCTAAAATATGAGCAGACTGTGTGGTGAGTCTTCAGATATTTTGGGAGTTTTTGGGAGAACATACACAAACAATGAGCCGGATAACAGCACCAAGTCAGAGATACTCACTGTGGGTGAAGTTGATGACAAATCAGAATCTGTGCAGTTCCTGTTTTATAACTCACAAAATGTCCAAAACTCTGTCATCATGCCTCCTACACAAGGGTACTGCGTACTTTAAACTTTGCATTGATCAGTAAAATAGAACCCTGTTGTTGATGTCATAGTGCTGGAGTCACGCGGGACTGGTTTTAATTACTGACAGACATACTTCATACCTCAGATTTGAAATTTGGTATGATGATCACAGTATATCCAGTTTGTGTTGGATATGTTTTAACAGCCATCATAACAAATCATTCTCAGATTTGTGCTGCGATCGGACTTTGGACTCCAGTTTCATTGTGGTAAACTGGTGGTAATGGTCTATAATGCTGGGTGTGTCGATCGAATATTGGCATATGATATAAAACTAAGGTTAAAGTTGGATTAATTCATGAAATACAATACTGGAAAGAGATTAACATACATTACTTAAGGGATATTTTTAAATATTATATTGATGTTATAGAATGCAAAAAGGTGTGTTAAGTATGTTCAGCTAGTGGAAGCTAGAGATATTAAACATACCCCAACAGGAGTATAATAGGAATATTAGGCCATGAAGTAATATAGTGAACTGGTGTTCCAGATGTGTTTAATGTTTTAGTATTTGTTGATAGAGGCCTCCCACCTGCATACTGTTTTCTCTTTTCATGCAGTATTGCTAAATATTACACATTTCCTGCTACCTTTATCAATTACTGTATAGTTGGCATATCAGTAACCCATTTCACATTTAGCCTTGTTGTCTTCATGCAAACAAAACTGGAATCATTTCAAGGATAAGTCTAGTGTCATGTTTTTGTTATTGAAACGAAAAGAACAAACATCAATATCTCAGTCGGTCTCTCAAGGCTTTCTGACATCCCTACCCTGTCTGGGGCTCCACGTCCATTGGTTCCCACTGAAGATTTAAAACTTTAAAAATGTCTCACAAAAGTGTAGTTTGGTTCTAAACAAAACCCTCAGTAATTTCCTAAAACATCTGCTCACTGTAGTTTTTTGCAAACATTCCTGAAACAGAAGGAAATGGTGCATTTGTTGGGGACTACTTTCATTGGTGGATTAATCAGTGTTTGGTGCGCTAGTGAGTATTTGAGACAGCAGGACGGTGTATGTGGGATTGAGTCAAAGTAAACTACAGCAGCATGTCACCCAGTGCAACAGTGTGGCTCAGTGGTGTGTTATTTTAATCCTGTCTGGGCAACAATGGAGCTCTTTGGCTCAGAGATAGAAGAGATGTCAAGCGTTACATACGCGAACAGTACCTGTTAGTCAGGCCAGGCAACTTTATTTGTATAGCACATTTCATCAACAAGGCTACAAAGTGCTTTACATATAAGGTCTGGATGGTTCATAACGTAGCGGAAGATCAGAAATGTATTTTGTCCCTAAACCATTCAGTGCTTTATAAACCAACAGCAGTACTTTGACAGACAGGAAGCCAGTGTGAAGACCTCAGAACTGGAGCGATATGATCCACTTTGTTGGTTTTAGTGAGGAATTGAGCAGCAGCGTTCTGAATCAGCTGCAACTGGAGACCTGTAAAGACTGTTTTGGTTGTCCAGGTCTTTCCAGGTCCTGCTGAAATACAAGTCCTTTAATCCTTGATATATTCTTCAGGTGATTGCAGGCGGACTTTGTAATCGTCGAAATGTGGCCATGACTACACCAAGATTTCTGGCTTGGTGTGTGGGTTTTAACATTCCTGATTGAAGTTGATCACTTTCTTCCTCAGTTCCAAAAAGCAATGACTTTGTTTAATTGAAGAAATTTCCTTCCTGGATGCCTATGGGGTCATGATTATATTATTTGATCCTATAGACACTCAACAACTGAGCCAAGATGCCATTACATAAACACTATACACTACATAACACATTACCTAAACACACTAGACACTACCTAAAAAAAGCTCTGTCTTTTAGCAAACCACCCACGTTTAGGCTCTTGTATGTGATCTTCTTTTGATAACGAATGTAATATTCTTTCGCTTTCATTCACTGAGCCTCCCTTGAAACTGTTTAAAGTCTCCTGTTTTTCACAATTCTCCCGATTTGTGGCAAATGTTTACATCTCTGTGTCCTTTTCTTTGCATTTATTACGGTTTCTGACACTTTACAGCGCATATAAGGATGCTTGTGACGCAGAGTCACATGAATTCCGATCTGACTGTCCAGACTGTCATAGCTAATAATGCACTTGAATGTGTCTCTCATGTCCCACATCCCACAGTTAGTTACAGGGAAAAGGGACAACAATTAGTGTCAAATTGTATTCAGACGTTGTTCAACTAAAGTATGTAGAAACACTTCAGACATGACATTCAGACATTTGCGATGGCATCACCCAAATGTGTTTTATTTCTTTTTTCTTATTGACAGTTATCCAGTATTTGGGTGCGTTAACTGTTATAGGAAGAATTACGGCCAATGAGCTACTCTCAAATCTTTACTTTTTTAAAAGTAAATGACATTTTGTTATTTTCAGCATTTTTTAAATTTTCACTGCTTTACCAAAAGCATACGGAACCGTGACGCATAACTGAGATAAATATCAAATCGTGAATTTTGAGTACCGTTACACCCCAAGCATCCTTACAGTCGCTGAGATGTAATGTAATGTACATTCATTCTAGCAGAGTGGCTTTACACATTAACACTAGTGTAATCCAGATGCAGTGAACGGTCACAGTCATCACACAGTGGTACTCAAACTCAACAGTAGCTTGGTAAAAGAAGGATGAATATCAGTCAGCCACACTGACTGTGAAGATGCTGCAGTATGAGTCTCACTGTGTTAGTAAGATGCGAAAGTGTATGAGCTTGCAGGTCCAGTCTTTCTGTATGTGTGTGTGTATAATTGTAGTTATAGTCAGTGTGGGTTGGCTTGGTTCCAGGGCGTGGTGTCTCCGATCCCACCCATCTCCGGGGCTTCACTGCGGGACGTTCTGGGCTCTCTCATGCTCTCTATTGTAGGTGGGACCAAACATCTGCCTGTCCCCAACCCCCCAACCCTCAGTCCCCCTTCCATTTTCTTTCTTTCTTTCTTTCTTTCACTCCTGACCATTTTCCTTCATGCACATCAGCTCAGTTGTATTTGGGTCTCCATTGGCTGATGGGCTGTTCATTTCTTCCTAATTGTTGAGGATGTGGACCACTCAGGCATGTTCTTTGAGGTACTTAAGGGAATGGCTCTCCACACTCATTATGTTTTGTTGTCTTTAAAAAAAAAACAAGGGTCATGAATAATTAATGAATGTGTCATGTTCTGTGCATCTCATTAGTTTCTTTTGTTTAAAATCCAAATACCATTTGGTTAAAATCCAAATACCATCAGGATGCTTTCCACAGCAGCAGAGCAGACGGACATGATGTGGTAAATACATTGCTCTGTCATGTCGGATTCTAACCGATTCTCATGGTGGTGTAGTTCCTCTGATGCGTCCTCCCAAAAATCCACAGCCAGCTCCTTTCAATAAATCAAGTACATCAACTTCACAGCAAGTGCTACATTTAGAAACAATGAGACATAGAGAGAGTGTTTTGTTTGTTTGTTTGTTTGTTTTCTTGATGGGTCAAGGTGCACTCTAAACATACAGGTTTTCAGTTGTCATGCTTGACTTCCTTTTTCAGCCTTTAATAACTTAAAATAAATAACCACTTTCCAGATTGTAGTATGGAAGCCTATAGAGGACAATACTAAAATGACAATGTAAACTGGAAAATAAAAATGTTATTTGAGCAAAAATATAAATAAAAAATGTCATTTTCGCACACATGTAAATGGGGGTTCTGACCATATTAAAATGAAAATACAAAGGCTGTTTGACACTGAAGTTTGAAAGTTGGACCCCTCTGTAAAGTGGACAATATTTAAATGTTAATTCAGATTTGAAAATTAAAATTCAATATAAACAATGTAATCTGTTTTTTTTTCAGGATTTCATGTGACTTCAAATGATTTTAATGCAGCTGTAATTCCCTCCATAATAACATTTTGTTTTTTATAGCTAGTCCTTAGCAGTGAATGTTGTGTGTATTTATTTGGTATCCAGTCGACCAGGTCCATTGACAATCTTCTATTGTATACTAGTTATTAATTGTTCACCAATATCTATTCTTAGACAAACGTTAATTGTGATGGAACTGTCTTGAATCTGGTGTGGTTAATAGTCTTTTAAAAATAGGTAGTGCATAATATTTGTTTAGCATGAGTGCTACATTTAGGCCCCCAAAACCGCCTGGAGGATTTTTATCAGAACTTCCTGAATTTTTATCTACTCTGGTTTTAAATTATGACAGAATTGTTCTTTGTGGCGATTTTAATATTCATGTTGATGACCCCAACAATGTTAATGCAACTGACTTTTTAAATATGGCCACTTCTTTTAACTTCAAACAACATGTCAAAGGGCAAACACATAACCGTGGTCATACACTGGACTTGGTTTTTACCCTGGGTGTCAGCGTCTCCTCTGTGGAATTAGTGGACATGACCATATCTGACCACAGATGTATTGTTTTTAGCTGTGATTCGCCTGTTACTCATGCCGCCTCACCAAGCTCCGTGTGCTTCTTTAATGAACAAAGTGTTTCAAAGTTTTGCGCATTTTTTCAGAGCCAAAGCCAACACCTGTCTGATTCCAACACCAACAATCTGGTCGATCACTTCAATCATATCTGCTTGTCGTCACTAAATATTACTGCTCCTCTAAAGGTTAGGCCTACGTCTAAAGCTAGTAAGCAACCCTGGATAAATGACAGCATTCGCAGCCTAAAAAGGGAATGCAGGAAAGCAGAGCGCAGATGGAAAAAATCCAGTCTCCAAGTCCATTACCTCAGTCTGAAGGATTTATCAATTAAATACAATAACATGGTTAAGGATGCGAGAACACACTATTTTTCTGAACTCATTACTACACATAAACACAATCCCAGGTTTCTGTTTAAGACTGTGGATCAGCTGGTAAACCCAACCCCTCCTTGTGCCTCAGCTGGTTCAGTAATGATGACTGAATTGTTTTTATCTTATTTTACCAATAAGGTGGTGTCAGTCAGAGCCTCTATTACCCCCGTGGCCTCTTACTCAGAGGTTCCTCACCAGCAACAAGAGAGTTTTAACCAGTTTTATCCCATCGACTTGTCTGAGCTTTTAAAAACAGTATCACAAATGAGAGTGTTCTCCAGCCCACTTGATGTAATACCTACAAAGTTTTTACTGAAAGTAATAGATTCTGTTGGGCCCCATTTGATCTCTATTTTCAACAGCTCCCTATCTACTGGTTGTGTCCCTGATTATTTTAAAACGGCTTGCGTGAACCCACTTTTAAAGAAACCTGGTTTAGATCCCTCCCTCCCACATAATTGTAGACTAATTTCAAAACTACCTTTTATTGCAAAGATTCTAGAAAGAATTGTGTCCAAACAGCTGCTCACTGTACTGGAAAATAACAAAATATTTGATCGGGTTTCAGGAAGTACCACAGCACTGAGACTGCCCTGCTTAAAGTCACCAATGACCTTTTAATGTCTGCTGATGAAGGCATGTGCTCAGTCCTGGTACTCCTGGACCTTAGTGCTGCTTTTGACACCACTGATCATAACATCATGTTAGACAGACTGAGGCACTGGGTGGAGATCTCTGGTACTGCCCTAGTATTGTTTTCATCCTACCTGTCAAATAGGAAGTTTTGCATGTCTGTAAACAACTATGTCTCCTCGTTCTGTCCAGTTAAATATGGTGTGCCTCAGGGGTCGGTCTTAGGACCAATTTTGTTTTCCTTGTATCTGCTTCCTCTTGGACATATCCATAAACATGGCATTTCTTTTCATATTTATGCTGATGACACACAAATGTACTTGCGCGTCAGATCCACAGACCCTGGAATGCTGAGTTCACTTAACAACTGCCTTTGTGAAGTTAGAAATTCCTCCAGCTGAACTCAGACAAAACAGAAATCCTGGTCATTGGGTCCCAGCAGATGACAAATACTGCCATCTGCTGGTTCCCTAGTAAATCACATTAAGCCTGTGGCAAAGAACCTTGGTGTCTGGTTTGATAGTAATTTAAATTTCGAGCAGCACACCACAAAGCTTGTTCAATCATGTTTTTATCAACTTAGAAATATAGCAAAAATTCGGTCAATGTTAACTTTAAGGACACCGAGACCATTTTACACGCCTTCATCTCATCACGCCTGGATTATTGCAACAGCCTTTTCACCTGTTTAACCCAAAAATATATTGATCGACTCCAGACTGTCCAGAACTCAGCTGCCAGGCTTTTAACCAGAACAAAGAAATATGACCACATTACTCCTATTTTAGCTTCATTACACTGGCTCCCAGTATGTTTTAGAATTGACTTTAAAATTCTATTGATCACTTTTAAAGCTCTTCATGGCCTCTCGCCTTGTTATATTTCTGATCTTTTAGTCCCATACACACTGGCACGTACCTTGAGATCCTCGGGCAGAGGTCTGTTGTCTGTTCCAGAGTCTCGACTGAAAACTAAAGGGGACAGAGCGTTTGCTGTCAGGGCCCCGAGGCTCTGGAACAGCCTGCCCGAGGAAATCAGGTCAGCTGAGTCAGTGAACTCTTTTAAGTCCCTTCATAAAACATACATAGGACAGCCTTTCCCGATCTTATTTGACTTTATTTTATTCTATTTTACTTATTTTATATTTATCTTAAACGTGTATTTTAGTCTTTTCAATGTTTTCTTGCTTTTATCTTGTATTGTTTTTGTATTATTGTCTCTTGGGTATTATTGTCTTTACACTTGTTAAAGCACTTTGTAACTTGTTTTTGAAAAGTGCTCCACAAATAAAGATTATTATTATTATTATTATTATTATTATTATTATTATTACATTTAGAGGCATCTCATCTGGTTACCTTTTGTTTGCTCTTTTCCTGCTTAGCACAGCTTTGTCTGATTTGCTTCTTCCTGCTTGTTTGAACACATTTTGCTGGTTGTGTGTTTTAGCATGGGTCCCGTCTGAGTCTGTTGCTTTATCTAATGCTCCACCTGTGGTTATATAATTCTGATTCCAGTCATGAACTTATTCTCCACCCCCTCCACTGGCCTCTGCCCTCTGGTCTGGAGAGGAGAGAACCCTGGAGCGGGTGCAATGGGCCCACCAACAGTCTGCCTAAAACAGATACATTTCAACCCTTAAGGTCTCAGTACGCTTCAAACAAACTAGGTAGCACAATGTGTTGTATGTCCATGTCTAGTTTTTTAACCTGGCCATACTAAAAGGTGGGGCAACAGTCATTTATCATAGAGAGGGGCAGTGCTGACCTTCACATAAAAAGTGACAGAAATAGTTCTGGGAAGAATGAAAAAGAGAGCCTGAGAGAGAACACACCTGGCAAATCGTTGATTGTGTGCGATTCTGCCATTGAAAAGGGGGTTTCAGACATTGACAAGCACTTAGCGTAAAGTATATTGAGGCCTTGGGACCTGTCCTGGGAGCAGTTACTATTTGTCTGTTCTTATGGATGAAACATATTTCAGTTATTTTTCTGGTTTTCTAACTTGAGAACACAACACATGCTTGTGAATTATTCATGACCTTCACATCAACAGCCACAGAAACACTAGCCTTCATCTCAGCCCCACCTAGGCATGATGCTTGCCTTAACCTTTCACCTGGATGTCATCACTAACGGGCTTCACCATGGGTATTATTTCCTGTGTTAATGGTTCAGTAAATGAAGAAATGTAACTTCATGGAGATCAGTTGTTTGCTGAATTTGATTCTGGTTAAATGGAATAGCACAATTTGACACAAAACTAAGAAAATGCCAGGAGACGGCAACCCTGGGTGATACTCAGGGTTTCAGTGATAAGGGAGTAACAGGAACTGTATGTGACATGCAGTTATAGCTAATGCAAACATATATCTTATCTTAAATAAGTATGGACTCGGAACAAAATCTTAAATCCATGTTTACATTGCACCCTTTCAACTGATGACAATTGTTTTGCATGTCAAACAGCACATCACTTGTTAAGTAGGATCAGCATAATCCCTGAGTCTCAGATGGCTGATCTGTGTCTTTGTGTGTCCAACAGGTGGAGGATGAACACAGCTCTCCTGTGGTGCTGTTCAAGTTTTCCCAGGAAATGAGTTCTGGTAAGGGTCGCACTTAGCCTGGGTACCAGACAAATCTGCCGAGCTCAGGTTTCATTTGCTCTGGCAGATACGCCTGGCCCCCCTCCCAATCAGATAGACTTCCACCCATCCTTAATCCGATTGGGCTGATTACAACCATTTATGATATGGGCGGGTTTTAAACAATGACTGATGGAGGTGCATCACCATTCCAGATTTGAAAAGTCACATGTCACATGTTTCTGCAGGTCCATTCAGCACAACACACCAGGCTCAAATATGAATCAAGATTCTGTTAACTGCATTGCCCATTTCCTGCCTCAAACTTTTTCGTCTTTTTCGTTCATCACGCTGGGGTCCACCCATCAAAAGAATCAAAACAGCTTTTCAGATAGATTTATCCAAGTTGTGAATCCTGTCATGTGAAGTCCATCGCTCTCTGTCTGCCACAGTTCTCTCATCCTGCATCATGTTGTTGTTGTCGTGAGGTTGCGGCCTTCAAAATAAAAGTGCATAAGACGTCTGTCGGAGCTAGATTAAATGAATGAATGTATTTGATATTATTTGATCATTTTTACATAAGTATTATTCTGTTTGAAATAAATAAACTGTTTCATAGTAGTTTTAGTTTTGTGCAAAAAGAATTAAAGGCCTGTCTCATATGAAGGCAGGGTCAATTCAGTGATTTAGTTTTACAGTATTATATATAGACTGCGCTGTTAAAGTCTAATACCATTAGTTTTTGAGGTGAAATAAGATCTGGACACTGAATTTTGGAATTCGGTCCCTGCGAACATGCAAATTTGATACAGTGGCGAGTGACGCAACTTCAGTTCCCCAGCTCCGGTTGAGGACTTAATTCGAAGGAATTCCTCACACAAAACGATGCATAGCCTGAGCCTGGGATCTCAGTTAGCTGAAGCACACAGGAACAGCAGGCAGCGGAGCTTTGGGTTTGTGTAGCAAAATAATATTTAACTGTAGGTGTAAATAGCATAATTTCAATTCAGTTTTATTTGTACAGTCAGTCTCTTAGACTTAGATTTCTTTCATCTATATCATTCCTCCATTAATTTATCAATTGAAAATATGTATATATTATGTATATGTATACATGTATATGTATAAATATGATAAAAATGTATCTTTGCTTATTTTTATCTTCTTGTGGTTCCCAGTACTGCATCCTCTCCCAATAGGTGTGCTGTCAATATTAGGGCTATAACCAATGTAATTTTTGTACATTCAAAGCTTCTATTGTATATTATATCATTGCATATTGTATGACATCATCACCCTTGAAAAACAGAAAAAATCCTCAAACAAAATTCTCAATTTGAATAAAGTGATTTATCGAGTTAAAGGAATGAGTCTTTTGTTAAGTACAGGCGTAAGAGAGAGCAATAAGCTGATTGGAGAAATTAACACGGCCCCGTCTCCAAACTCCTCCGCGCACCCCTGGGGGAAGGAGCCACATTGCCAGATTTTGTGTGAATGCTGCTAAAGCGCTTCATCCTGTCTTCTGTCGGTAGCTCAGCCCCGCCCAGTCAGACAGGCCTGCAGAGACTGAGACAGAAATGTTACCTGATTGCTATGACCTGCAGAATTGTCTATTCAGACATGCAAAATTTTTAAAAAAGCTGCGCATCATTCAAATGTTGATTTCGATGAAGCTTCAAACCATTCGGTAGAGCCATAGTCACTATACACAAAAAATAATAAATACAAGTTTATTGTTGAATTCTTATGTTTCCCTTTTTCCTGTTGTTAGCATCTAGTCGGGGTTCTGTGGAAGGATACTGTACCGGGGAGAAAGAGGGGCTCGATGCTTTCAACAGATGGGTGAGTGTTTTCCCTACTGTACTACTTTTTATGTGCCTGTGCTAGTTAAAGCTGCAACAATGAACATTTTTCACATGGATGAAATGACTAGGTTTAATGGGAAAGGAGTCGCTTGAAGTGATGAAGCCAGATTATTATCACCAACTCTGCAGTTCCTCTCAGCTCTACGGAGCTTTTTAGCCTCTTGTAGCTCATTGTTTTGGTCTTACAGCCTGTAAACTCTGATCTCATCTGTCTCATTTCCAACTTGTGAATGGATGATTATGTCCACACGTTCCAATGAGAGAGACAAGTCTTATGTTAGGCCTGGAACAGCTCACAGTGTTGTCCAACAATGGTAAACATTCTAACATTAGCTAGCATGCTACTGTTCACAAATATCAAAGGGGCTATATGTAATTTTTTTAATAAAGTGAATCACTTTTTTATTGGCTGTCTGTGAAGGGGTTGTATCATCACATTTCTGTTAACCAGTAACCAGCATGGATGAGTTCAAACACAAGCTGTCAAGTTTCTCTCTCCTGTAGTCTGAGCCTGGCTTAAGAGACCAACTGGTGAACATAATGGAGCATTTAGCAACTAAAGAGCCAGATAATTTTCTCAGGAGATGGTGGAGAGCAACAGGGGAGCTAAAAGAGAGGAAATATAGGACTGTATTCATCAGGAGAACACAAACACGACTCTGTTTGTGTAAATAGGCAACTGTTGTTTTTACAGCTCGTCCTACTGTCCCAACTTCAAGAAAGTTCACCAATGAGTTGATTTAGCTTCAAATATGTACTAACTGCTATAACACCCAGAGTCACAATCTGTGGGTCAAATACACTGATTTATATCAATTTATACAGTTATATTTATAACTGTCAGTCAAACAGTGTCAGCATCAACAGGATGAAATAACAATTTATGCCATATGTAATTCAGTTTATTTAATTTATATAGTGTAGTGTACTATATAGTGATTGCACTTCATAAAGAGCAGATCTAGACTTTACTTTTTGTAGTATTATTACAGAGACCCAAAAATAATGTTATGATCATTTCCATTTCTCTCTGGATATGTAATTGATTATGTGTTTATATACTGTATGTCTAGGGGGGCTCCAAACAGTTTCAGGGGAAGCTCAGTGAATGGAAGTGAAACAATATTACATTAGTTATCAACAGGAGATGTCATAGAATAGCCTACATGTGTGAGAGTTCAGAGATACAGTAGTTTTCCCAGTTTGTATGATCTCATAGGCATCCAGGAATTTAGCGAAACTTAGTAAGTAAACTAAAGATGTGGTGGGGAGGGGATGCCGATTCCCAAGCTTTGTCTGAGCGGAGGCCCACAGTCTCAGACTTTAAAACCCCTGCTGTATGTCAAAATGACTTGTAGTTATTTGTGTTATCTAAAGGCTGTCTGGCTTTAAAAATCTGTTAAATGTTTTATGTTGTCTAATACAAAACTGATGCACATAGGGTATTCATGTTCTAAAATATGTCTTTACAGTCCCCTCTAAGAGTATTGCAACAGTAAGGCAAATTCCTTTGTTTCTGTTGTTCACTGAAGACATTTGGGTTTAAGATCAAAAGATGAGACAGGAGTTCAGAATTTCAGCTTTCAGTTCTTGGTATTCACATCTAGGTGTGTTAAACAACTCAGGACATACCTCCCTTTGTTTGAACCCACCCATTTTTCAAGTGAGCAAAACTATTGGAACATGTGACTGCCAGATGTTTCTTGTTGCCCAGGTGTTGCCTTTTAGGTTGATTGTCCAAACATTAAATAGCTCTGCATGACTAGTCTAAGTTTTCATCCTTGGTTCAAACCTACAAAGACTGCATTTCCTGTTAAAGAGGATAAACCAACATGAAGACCAGAGAGCTGTCTGTGGGAGAAAAGCAAGCCACTGTCAAGCTGAGAAAAGAAGGAAAATCGAGCAGAGCCATTGGACAAACATTGGGCATAGCAAGCACAACAATTTGGAATGTCCTGAAAAAGAAAGAAACTACTGGTGTACTGAGCAACAGACGTCCAACAGGTCGGCCAAGGAAAACAACAGTAGTTGATGACAGAAATATGGTGAGAGCTGTGAAGAAAACCCCCAAAACATCAGTAAGTGACATCAGCAACGACCTCCACAGTGCAGGGTGAAGGTATCACAATCCACTGTTGGAAGAAGACTCAGAGAGCAGAAATATAGAGGCCACACCACAAGATGCAAACCACTCATCAGCAGCAAGAATCAGAAGGCCAGATTGAAATTTGCAAAGAAGTACAGAGATGAGCCGCAAAAGTTCTGGAACACAATCTGATGGACTGATGAGACCAAGATTAATCTCTAGCAAAGTGATGGAAAGGCCAAAGTGTGGAGAAAGAAAGGAATTGCTTATGATCCGAAGCATCCAAGCTCATCTGTGAAGCATGGTGGAGGTGATGTCATGGCTTGGGCGTGCATGGCTGCTTTTGGAACAGGCTCATTAATATTGATGGAACTGATGATGGTAGCAGCAGAATTCAGAAGTGGACAGAAACATTTGGTCTGCCAATTTACGGAGAAATGCATTGAAACTAATGGGGAGGAAGTTTATCATGCAGCAGGACAATGAGCCAAAGCACACTGCCAACAAAACAAAGGACTGTGGAAGGTTTTAGACTGGCCAAGTCAATCACCTGACCTTAACCCAATAGAGCAGCATTTCACCTCCTGAAGAGGAGACTGAAGGGAGAAACACCCCGAAACAAACAAGAACTGAAAGAAGCTGCAGTAAAATCCTGGAATAGCATCACAAATGAAGAATGCAACAGTTTGGTGATGTCGATGGGTCGCAGGCTTGAGGCAGTTATTGCAAGAGAGGGTTATGCCACCAAATATTAAATGTTATTTACTTTAAGATTATTTATTCCATTACTTTTGCTCACCTAAGAATTCTGTGATCTAATACAAACGGTGACATGTCCTGAGTTGTTTAACACATCTAGATGTGAATACCAGTAAATAAAAGCTGAAATTCTGAACTCTTGTCTCATACTCATCTTTTGATCTTAAACCCAAATATCTTCAGTGAACAACAAAAACAAAGGAATTCGTTACCGTTCCAATACCTTTGGAGGGGACTGTAAATTCCAGTCAGAAATAGCATGCATACTGTACATGAGCTGATTTAGAATACTACCATGGAAACTAAATACAGTACACCTTTAAGCTCTCACTCTTCTACTGTATTGTGTGCTATAAGCCTAAAGAGTGAGAACTGAATCTCTTTCCACAAAACAAAACATTTTTGTTTTAAATTTTTCCTGGGTGTAGCTGGGTGAACAGCTGGTCCAGCTGGTTCCCAACAGTGGGATAGATGTGGTGGAGCTTGAAGACGAGGGTATATGTGTTCGCTTCAGTCCCCTCCTGACTGCTGCAGGTAACATGAACACACACACAGAAACACAAACACCACATCCTGCTTGATACGTTTAATATACATTAAATACTGCCAGGAAACAGTCATGACTCTCTTCCTCCCTCCCTCCCTCTTCCTCCCTACCGTCAAGTTCTGGGGACCCAGCAGGAGCACGTTGAGGACCTGGTGGAAAAGCTGTCAGACCTGGTGCCTGTGATGAGCTCCACATTGTGCCTCAGACAGGGCTTCAGAGAGGAAACCCACCGACACTCACCCTCGCTCACTTACATAGAGGAGCCCAGCTGGCCCGGCCTGGGTGCTGTCCGGTGAGAATGGATAGGCTTTAAAGTAGCTGCTGTTGTATGGAGGGGCTGGACTGGACTACTATTAATTGTATTTGGTTACAGGTTCTTTAAAGAGATCATATTATGCTTTTTATTGAGTTATATTCCCACAGACAGAAAACATTGCTCCGAACCTCCAGAAAACAGCTGGTTTGTAGTCCATCCTTTTCCTTTTGTTCTCTGTGACGTCACAGCAAAATGCGCGTCATAATGCTCGCCTGGCGGCTAGTCTGAACGCCCTCAAAAACACAGGTTGAAAAACACACTGAGCTTCCAAACACTAGCTACCCTCCAGCAGTCAGTGGACATAAAGTTGCTCCTGTGATGTAGAGACAGAGCTCAGTTAAAACTTTAAGGATGAAAGATACTTTTGTTACAGATGAATAACTCACCACTCTGAAACTCTTGCTCCAGTCCATGTTAATAAGCTGGTCGGTACAGCTGTACAGCTGTGTGTGTACAGCTGTGTTTACCGGCTTCTCACAATTGGCTACTCCCAACAAAGATCCTATATAGGCAAGATGTATCACTCCATAGCTAAAACGAAGCGTTCAACACAGGGTGAAAAGAGGAGCTGCAGCAATGTGCAGTATGACAAAAATATGGTGGTTTTTTGAAAATGAAACCATGTAAACCTGTTCTGGTACCCCTAAATAGGATTTTGAACCTGAAAATGAGCATAATACCACCTCTTTAATATTCTCAGTGCAGCAACCACAATATGCTGCTTTACGTTGAACAAGTTGCCTCGCTTGAGAAAACTCTTAAGAGCCACAGAAAGAGTGACATGTCCACGTTACTTCTCTGTAAAAGCCATGACGGCAAATTAAAATGAGTAAATCTCAAATGGAATGTACTTGGATAGCACCTTTTTTTAGTCTTCCAACCACTCAAAGCTCACATGTCACATTCACCCTCTCACACACATTCATACACTGATGGCAGAGGCTGCCATGCAATGTGCCAGCTGCTCATCAGAAACCGAAAGTAATCATTCACACACCGATGGCACAGTTAATTGGAGGTATTTGGGATTCAGTATCTTGCCCAAAGATACTTCGACATGCAGACTGGAAAAGCCGGGGATCACAACGCTCTTAAGCCACGCCCCCTAAGTGGATTCACTGTGAGACTGTGAGTAAGCCCTCCTCGCTCTCTCAATGTTCATTAAGGCTTCAACAGCAGAATACATTCTGTCACTGATGCAGCCTGAGAGAGAACTGAGAACACTCTTCCAGTCTTCCTTCTTATCGTAACTCACCACTGTTCTCCAGCAGTGACACCTCTCCCTCTGTGCACCAGAAGCCAAATATCCTGCGTGCGTTATGGATCATTCTGTAGCAGTCCTGTTGTGTCTGCATGAAGACTTGATGAACATTTATGGAGCAGACATCTCTGTCTGAATGACAAAAAGTCATCACTTTAATAAACAGAGGAACCCAGAAGTGTTCCTAATTAAATTTATACTTGCCATCCTTTTTAACAATGTTGGGATTTGTCGTGAACATTTTTTCATGGTGCTCAGTAGGATTCAGACATGGGTCTGTGACAGATATGTTGATGTTCAGGTACGAGCCTCAGGCTGAAGGAGTGGATGAGAGCAGGAGGAAGCAGGAGCTGGAGAAAATCAACACCGAGCTGCTGAAAAAACTTCAAGACCTCGACACTGACATCATCTTCTCAACCGGTTAGTGCTTCTTCACATCTTAGAGGCCCGTGAAAATTGTAACACAGTATTCATCTTACGACATGTTTTTGTTGTTTCTCTCTCCTTTTCCATCTCCTCCGCTCCCCAGGCCGTGAGTTTGAGGGGGACTGTATCTTTGTCGGTATGGTCACTGACGACATTGATGTTTCAGAGCTGGTGGATACAATAGCTGCTCTCGGGAGGGACATAGAGGAGAGCGGAAGGGTAACTAGCTATATTCATTTTATAGGATCCTCAAAGGTTGTTACAGTCAGAAAAATCAAAGACTAAATGAACAGTTTCTCACCTCAGCTCCTAACATATTAGGACTCCTCTGGAGGGTTCCTATAGAGATAGCAGAGATAGATCGGAGTCATTTCCTGAGTTAAGGAAGTTGATGAAATGCTCTAATTGCAAATATGTGCCATTTTGAGAATGTGTGGCCAGTTAGGACCTATTTCCTACTCTGAGACTCCCACCAGTCTCTTCATACACACACCCTGATCGATCAGACTAAAAGGCTTATCTTAACATGACACCATGATAATTCCAGCAGAGTTACAAAGGAGTTTGAAAGCAGGAAATATCAAAGGCTTCTAATGTTAAATGTCAGATTTTCGTGTTAACTGTCTCAGAAATGAATGATGGAGGGTTGTGTTCAAGATAACCGCACAGGAAGAAATCCATCACAACGACCTAGAAAGTATTCATGATCATAGATATCGTAGAGAAAATACCTCTTTTAAGTTGTGTCCCAGGTTGTTTAAGTGGAATGAGCATTCAGCTTTGGTTGGTATGCAATTATTTTTGATATAGAAAATGTATATGAGGATCTCCTGTTCATTGTAACACACAGTATGCCTACTGTGTTGTCATGGATATTACATTTCTGAATTGTAGTGCTTCTCTCTTGTGTAGCTGTTGGAGAACATGACGGAGGTGGTGAGGAAAGGCATCCTGGAGGCAGAGCTGCAGCTGCAAAAGGCCAATGAGGAGAAACTCATGGAAGAGGTGTGCATGTGGATTTGCTGCTATTGTGTTTTATTATACATTTTGAATTTTATACTTTGAAAACGACGAAGCTCATCTTCACTACTTAAATGAGTCAGAGGTTGGGGTTAGGATTTGGGATTTAGAATTAGAGGAGGGGTCGAGTTAGGTTTAAGTAAGGGGTCAGAGAACAGATTATCCCCAGTATAGTTAGACTAACATGATTTTTGCTCCCTCGCTTCATTGGTTGTTAATGTTCTTGTGGGGTTGTGTAAAGGTCTACATGTGAGTATTCAAATCCAATCCATTAAAATGTTTGACCTCCTGTGTCTCTGTGTGGTATAGGGGATGATTAGGCAGATTCCTCTGGTTGGCTCTGTGTTAAACTGGTTCTCTCCAGTTCAAAGCTCCATAAAGGGCAGGACCTTCAACCTGGCTGCAGGTACTGTGTGTCACTGTGAGACTGTAGTCTCCCGGGACAGTTGTAGATAACACACAGCAACTTTAACATTTGAACAGTGTCACATGAATATGATTGTAGTTTTTTCAAACTTCATCCAACAGCTTTGTCATTGTCGTTTTTGGAAATGTTCCAAGAATGAGTGGACAGTTGTAAAGATCTCATGTTCAAATATGTCTAAAATATGCATATGAATTGAAAGACACCACTTTTAAAACATACTGAATGTACTGTCAGACAGGACTGGGACCAGAGCACTGTGTGTATTATGCTGATTAGCTGTTAGAAAAGTATCAGGGTATGTACCTGTATGTGTGTCAATATTTGTGTAACATACATATGCATGGTGATGGTGTGTGTCCATAGGTTCACTAGACTCCACTGAGGTGACATACTCCACCAAGGCCCAGACAGGCAGGCCGTCCCTGCAAGACACTCCAACCTCTGCATCAAAGAGACTGCCAGGTAGGATTGTCTCTGTCTGTCACAGACTCCTGACGACAATAATAATAATAATAATAATAATAATAATAATAGCAGACCATGGACTTACCTGTACTCTAATAGCTCACATGGTAAATTCCACAGCATTAATCCCATCAGTGCAACAACAGTTTTGCTTACCACTCTGATGCTCTCGCTTCCTGTCTTTTTTTAATTAACTCACAAGATACAAACAGAAAAATGAGATAGATACATCGTTCTGATAATGAATACACCATTCTAACCCATATGCTAATGCACCCCTCAAACAATATCAGTCATAAACATTATTACTATCCTTCAATTTTCACTGTACTTTGATAGAAATAAGTCAGAAATAAGAATTATAGATTTTAAGATTTTTTAAAAAATGGTGGTCTTTGTTTTTTTTTTTTCAGTGACAGTAAAAATGTTTTTCTTTTATTTTGCAGTCTGAAAGCTACCCTTTCCAACTTAATTTCTATTGCTTCAGTGATCCCGTTGGTATATTTAAAGCCACCCAGTTATTCATTCTTTGTGAGCATACATAAGGGGCAGCTGTGGCTCATGAGGTAGAGCGGGTTGCCCGTCAGCGGTTCAATCGGCTCCTCCAGGCTGCATGTGGAATTGTCCTTGGGCCAGATACTGAACCCCGAATTGCCCCTGGTGGCTGTTCCGCCAGTGTATGAATGTGTGTGACTGGTGAATGCAGATGTAGTGTAAAAGCGCTTTGAGTGGTCGAAAAGACTAGAAAGGTGCTATACAAATACAGAGCAAGAGAAAGATACTTTTACTGTTTGCAAAGTTGAAGCTAAGGTTTTACAGACTAAATCTGTTAGTGTTTCACAGTAGCTTAACAATGATAAAAAAGAACTGCAAAGCCTGCTCACACCAGACAGTGGCACAGAGGAACATGAGCGTTGTGACTACTCGCAGGACTATCTGGTAATCTGTAGCTGGTAAGCTAATGGCTAACATACTAGCCAGTCAGGACCATGCTGGTGCTAATGAGTTGTGATAGCTCTCTGAGCTTCTTTTTATCTTCTCTGTGCTGAGTTATTTACTCCCTTCTGACATTTACTGAAATGAATGAATTCATTCGGTAAAGAGTGATGAAAGTGGGAAGAAAGCTCTTTTTAACTGTCAAGAAGCAGGCAAGGTACGCGTCAGTTAATAAGCTCTTCAGTGCAGTCGCTAACAGGACAATAAATCCACACACTGTAATTGTACGTGGACTCCTATCTCAAAGCTGTCTGCAGACCATTCCTCCTCTGGTCTGGACAGTTATATCAGTGAATGGTCCAACACAGCTAATGAGCTACAGTATTTTTTTCCCAAGTCTATATTTATGTTTTCTATATTATGTCTTGTGTACTGTTAAGCACCAATATATACCAAGGCAAATTCCTTGTATGTGAAAATGTACCTGGCATTAAACCCGATTCTGATTCTATTGGTCAGTGAAAAGTGATCACAGATGTACTCTACTCCTCTGACTGAATGCAGCGATTGTTGCAATTCCATTGGAATTCAGTGTGTTTGCCCTGACATGTTGATATTGTCATGGCAAAATGTAAAGTGATGTGACCAGGCCTTTAGTGTCAAAGTCAGATTTTCATCATGTCATGCATTGATCGCATCTGAAGTTAGCACCTGCTTCCAGCTAATGTGTTCCGTGGTGTTTGTGGCAGGATAACATCACCTCCAACTTTGACACAGGTGCTGTGGACACCGCATGTTTTAATATGCACCTAAAGATTCTCAAAATGTAGAACCACTGGCCTTCCTGTTACCAGTGACACTCTGGGTATCTGTTTGAAATGACATCACACTCACCTTGGGAACTTTCTGCCTCCTGACAGGTCAGAGGTTATTCCGCCGCTCAGCTGCAGGCTCCGACTCCTTTAGTGAGTCCAGCTCCATTGGACAAGCTGAGGAGACAACCGGGGAAGGGAATACCAGTCTGAATAGTAGCATCCATCCACCCACCTTTCCACCTGACCCTGAGGAGGACTCACACACTGCAAGTGATGTCACACCAAAGAACATCCAGGAGGCTTCTGCACAAGGACACACACAAGTGGAGGCTGACGTGGCCTCAGAGGAGAGGCAGCCTGAAGGCCAGGAGGTGGAGCAGAGTGGAAGATAGGATGACTCCTTCTGCACGCGTCCTCCAACTGTACTCTAAAGGGTAACAGGCTAACAGATGGTAAAAAGAAGGGTGTTCTTACATTTTGAATCTAACTCTTCCTGTTTTGAAGGGAAAACAGATGGAGCTGTTCTGTTTCAGGACAGCAAGGATGTCACAGTTATTGGGAAAATCCGCCCCTGCTTAATCTTTTGCTGTGATGCTTAGTTTAGGGCATTCTGGTTATTTAGGGATATAGTGTTCTAATATGATATTTTTACTCTGCTTGTTGCTGCAGCATTCTGAGAAATGTGTTTTCACACAATTGTTCAAAGGCCTCCTAACCACTCCCAGAATTAGGCAAGAAAGTGTTGCTTTCATTCCAAAGTGTGTTGGCATACATAACACTGTATTATTATACATGTTAGTGAAATGAGCAGTTATGGGCAATGAAATATACGTGCCTCCTCTGTTGTCAGACTGCTTTGTAGCTGCACTATAAATTATCTTGACAGATCATGTCACCTCTGATTAGGCATGTATTCACAGGGAGAACAAGAATGCACTAAACAGCAGAGAGAAGTGTGGCGGATTTTTCCTTTATTGGTAGAAAGTTTTTTTTTTATCTGTTGATGACTTTGGGGTGTCATGTTGGATTCCAGAGCAGAGGAGCGCCATATTGCACACAGTCTCTTTAGCTTTAAAGAGAAATATGATTGGTTGTGGACCAGAGTCTCCATTTGATACTCCGTTCTCTTTAACACTCAACTGGAACTAAAGCAGCTCAATATTGAAACGGTGAGTGTCACTGCAATTAAAATGTTTAGATTCAACACTGTAAATAGTCTGCATAGATTATATATATCTGACCCACCCAATTATTCAATATAATTATTTATAATAAAATAAATCATAATCAAAATAAACAAAGCATCATAATAAAAAATGCCTGCTGATAATAGCAGTCACCTGCTGACGAGCTTTAAACACTCCATTCATGTGGGCACTGCCCAACAATCACTGCTGGAGAAAAATAAAGATTTTGAGAAAAAAAACACAATGTTATGAGAAAAAAAGAGTTGTGATTTCATTAGTAAAAGTCACAAAAATAGTTTAATTAATTTAAAGTTAGGTCATAAAAGAATGAAGTTGTAATTTTACATGATACAAAAGTGTAGAAAAAGTCATATTACAAGATGAAAAAAGTATATAAGGTGTTTAAGAGTCTGGGTTGTTATATTTAGAGACATGCACACATTCTTGATTATACACATAAACAAAAAAAACATTCTTCCAGTTGAATACAGCTCCGGCGTGTGTGTTCCACTGTGACACAGAGTCCTGTCAGACTGAGCTCAGCAAGATACCAGAGGATTCACTCATATGCGTAGCTGCTATCATTTAATGTCAGTGCAAGGTGCTTACTGATGAAACTTAAAAGCTTGAGATCCTTCACTCATAACTCATAAATATCCCATAATTTTACACATGTATTCTCCAAAAGTTACAAATCTCTCTCGTTAAATTAAGACTTTGTTCCCATAATATCATGACCTATTCTGTTTCATTGTTATCACTTTTTTTCTTGAAATTAGAAATTTTCTTGAAACAGTGGTTCCAAATATTGTGACTTCTTTCTCAAAATCTCAAAGTTCTGTTATATCAGTGGCCCTGCTACTCCATTGTACAGTATAAAGTGTAGCCACAGCTCCGGGAATCAGATTCCCTCTTTAATTGCACATGCCGCTGGGGTCAGAGCAGCAGAGTAGCCTGAGCAGAACGTGGCCTTCTGTCGCAGAGCAGCGTTGGTATAGCTTCAGGGGGATTTACTGTATTTGGAATTATTCTTTTCTTTGCCAAAAACATCCTGCCAGACCTGGGTCAAAGTACTTCCTAACCCTTTAAACACTATCCAGGTGCCATATTAGTGGGTCAAATGGATGCTTCTTTCTTTGTTTGTTTTGTTTTGGTTTTTGTTTGCTTATTTGTTCTTTTGTTTGTTTGTCTTTCTTGTTTGATGAACGTCCCATCTTCTGCTCTTTGGTAGGAACGATCACAGATTGCACAGACTGATGATCGTGAACGTGTGTGCATTTTATTTCTGTTTCTTTAAACAAATTGCTCAGAGCAGCTTTTAAGAACAGTTCATCATGGTTTGAGCTGTTCCAGTCTGGTTTAGATATCTGTAGATTATTTTCCAGTGTGTGTGCGCCACACCGGGACAATGTCACACAATTTGTTCCATGGGTGGCTTTGGCCGTCCTTAATGAAAGTCAGTGGATCGGGAGAGAAATGTGGTGAAATCTGTGGTCGTCAGTCCAAAGTGAGGTCTTAGATCCCACTAACAACTGATTTAGAACTTTGGAGACCAACTTCACAATTGTACAGAGTCAGAAATTGAGCATCGAATTCTCACAATGTGACTGCTGTCATGACCCACATGTACAAATCAGCCAATCAGAACACAACATAAAATGACATAAAACATTGTAGCTGCCCTCAACATGCCATCAAAAATGATATCCCACAGTCTGACACAGATTGTGACCAAGGACAACATGGGAACAGCAGGAAGTTGAAGTGTTTCATGATTTATGAATGCACACTTATTATGAATGTGAACCCGTCCCACCTGTGATGGGAACTTCTTTGAACATGCAAACATCTGTCAGCTGATATTTAGCATTTTGATGCAACTTTACACACTTTACAGTGAGGGATTATCATTGTTTTATAAGCCTTTTGCAGTTGAATGGGAATGAATGAGCCTCAGAGGGTTAGGCAGAATGGTTTAGAATTTGCTCACATGGAAGTGCCTGAATATAACAACGTAACACGAATTCAACAGAAGGTCTCTTAAGATTGAAAGCCCAAAACACACATTTGGCTGGAGTTGTCCTTTTGTACTCTGAGCCAGGTAATGGTGAAACATCTACTGTAAAGAGTTGTAAAATGTGGATTAAAAACGGTGGTCTGATAAGGGATTAACACAGTGAGAATGAAGATTCTAAAATAATCTCTTTCGGTTTTATTGCACTTGTTCTGTAGATAATGTCTTAACTACTGTTTATTTAATTTCTTAAATATATAAATGAAGCTAAATCTTCTTAATGATTATTTCTGTTATGTGATTATAATGCAAAGCTAAATGAGTAACTTTACATGTTTGATGAAGAACTTTTGATTTGATATAATGAGATATCCTGGGCCGTCCTGCCTCTGTCACTGTCTGAATGATTGATTGTATTTAATAGGCAGAATCTTTTCTCTGGAATGTTTTCTACCATTAGTTTACAGTACAGAAACACTTTGACATATTTTGTCTAAATTCTTTCTCAACAGATTAAATTCCAGGTTTTCTAGCCTTGATGTCAGGCCACAGCTTTCTGTGTTTAGTTATAATCCTAAATCCTATGATCTTTAGTCTTCCTCTGTACTGTTGGGAGTAGGCCATTCAATGCAACAGGCATGTTTGTGGTTCAGTTAGTCAGTATACATTATTAAAAACATGTGTAATTGTACCCCACATGTCTGAAAACAGAGCAATAAATGAAACCAACAAGAAAACAAAAACAGTGTCAGGCATTAATAACAAAAAGCACATTTACGGACAAAATGGAAAATCAAGTGTGTATAAATAAACAGAATTTTACAAGTGAAGGTAAAGTGGTTTTACTATAGTCATAAAACTAAAAGAGGCCGCAGTTGTAAAATAAAACCGCAATGCTGGACTTAAAGTAAATTTACATATGTCAGAAACCTGCTTTCAGAATTCCTGAACAAAAGAAGATTAAAAAAAAGGAGTCAAACTGATAAATTAAAATGACTGAAAAATAATACTGATGATAACCAGAGTTGTGGATTTGAGGCAGACTTCAGTGTTGTACCTCATGACTTTGTTTGGATTTCTTTCCGCTCCAGAGTTGCAACAGAGTTGGCTGTTTACTTTCCTGGCAACAGATATACTGCGAACTGCACCAGCAGGAGGGACAATCAGCTCAGAATTAACAAGTGATAGTACTTACAGTAGTTACAGGAATAACACACCAAGACACAAGTGATCAGTTTGCTTTGAAATATCTCCATGTTCATTTGACAGTAATTCATTCTTAGGAAGTTTTAGTTAATATGTAGGTAAATTTATCTTACTAACTGAAAATTTGAAATTGGCAATGACTTGTTGATGGACTTGAAGCCCAAGGGACTTGTGACTTGCAAAACTGTGACTTGCCCATTTAAATTCTGCACTGGTAGTAATAATTTAATTTTCAGATACGCTACCGACACCGCAGCCTAATTGAAAATCCTACTGTTGTGAAGCCCCGAGGTGTTACTTCAACTAATTTTTGGGTCTGGAGTTAGAGGTCTGTGTGTGTGTGTTTTTTTTAATGGACTAGATTACATTGTAAGGCGTTGCTGTTGTTTGTCCACATCTTTTCCGGGTAGTAAGTCTTGTATTGCATTACACTGTAATAGTGATGAGTAACTAACCATGATCATATAATAAATTGTTATAACAATTAATAATAACATCATTCTTCATATACTGCCAACAAGAGTTGGCTAGTTGTGTCTTTTGGATTTGAAGTTTATATCTCCCCCTGTGAATGGGCCACTTCCTCTGGTTGAACTGGTATTTAAAGGTTGGACTGCTTTAATGCCAGAAGGCATATTCAAAACCACAAAATATTCTGAGATTCTTGTTGTTATATATACAAGTATTAATTTCAACAGACATGATTATCCCAGAGGAGCATTATAGACAAATGTGTCTTATTTGTGTTGGACTGAGAGCAATAAACCAATAAACTGTGGATTTATTTAATTTCCTCAGTGGAAGTAGTTGACATTACTTGTTACAAAACTGTGATACACCTCTTGTGCCCAAAGCTGGTGGAAATGCATTAATGGCTAACATGAAAATGAATGGAAAGGGAATGACTTTTGATAATTAACAGTAATTGAGATTGATGTGTTGCAAAACCAAACGTTTTTATTAAATCATGGATTCAGGAAGCTGCTGTTGTTTTGCCATCATTTTCCTTATTAGTTTGAAACAGGGCAAATGTTTTCAATTATTGTTGTTACAGTTAGTGAAAAAAACTTTCTCAACAAATGCCCATGAGGAATTTTGCAAATCCCCAAATATGTAGGAAGCTTAATTTTGGGATAGGCAACGCTAGAGAACCAGCAAGTATCCAACTGCAAAATCCCACCTCCTCCCGTAAGGCATCCCCCCAAAACAGATGCGCATGCGGAGTGAGCGCACGGGCAGAGTCAGCATGATTGGCCTGCTTATTCTTATTACGGTCCTGACATCCACAGATACCGGATTATTTTCATTTTTGTGTCAGAGCATTTGATTTATTGATTTCTGTTAATGTCTGGAAAAAAAATCAGCAAATTTTTTTTTTAATGAGTGAATTAAGTTGTGTTGCTTATCATATAAAAGTAATTCTCTATCTGCTACATCAAAACCGAATTGAATCTGCGGTTCCGTAAAAGGTCAGAAACTACTGACGTATACTGTTAGTAGTAGGGGGATGTAGTATTCTTTCTCTCATGAATCATTCAAAGCAAATGTTTTCCGCTTTTGACCAAGACTTCATATCCCAGAGGTAACCGCGTGTTGCACGTCGGCTGACGGGACGCGTTAGCTCACGCGGACTGTCTGTAGGAGTGCTGAGTCGAATATCTTCTCTGGCGTCTCACCGAGAGAAACCGGCTGCTTTATTTCAACTGAATCGGAGACAAACCATTACACTTGAAGTTGGGACGTTCTCAATAACTCCAAGGGGTGACCTTAACATCGGGTTTTGGGCGGACACTTACTGTAGACCAAGAACTGCGTAGCTCAAATCTCACAGTAGTGAAAATCCAAGACCCACGATGGACCCGACAGACACTGCCCCTGATTCTTGGGAACAAGAGGACGATGTGGAGGCCACACTCGACGGACAACTTGAATCAGCATTCACAAGCCTAAATGTGAACGCTAAACCGTTTGTGCCCAATATAAACGCCGCTGAATTTGTTCCGACTTTTGCCGTGAAAGTACACTCGGAAAATGTCGGTTCTGTTGGTAAGTTCGCAGTCACGTTGGGGAGCTACATTAGCTAGCTAGTTGCTAACTGGAGCCTGGGCTGGGTAGGCTAGTTGCTAACTCACTAGCCACCTTACAGAAACATCCACGACAGACACGCGTTCCTTGAAGCGCGACAGACTAGCTAGCTGCTAGTTCTGTGTGGTGTAACAGTACTTAAAATCGTTTATCTGACGCCGTGTAACTACATTAACTTCAACATCTCTGTCATGTTGTTGTTACTTAGGCATTCGGTTATAGAGTGGTGTTAGTACAGCACTGCCATTAAGTCTCTCACCACTGTTACAACCCCAGCCGGCATTAGCTTGTTACAACTAACCGCTGGGAGCTAGCTAGCTAGCATTCTGGCTAGCTGGGGTGGTTTCACAATTGTAAAACGTTTCGTTCAACCAAGTATCTGCAGTAAATGGAACAAAACAAGAGGTGCTGCTGGCAAACATGCCTGTTGTCACTTTGTAAAGACCGACGTGATGATAAAGGCTACGTTCGTCATTATAAAGAAATTAGTGGGAACATGTGTGACGTGGATGCTCTGACGCCTGCTGGTCAACAGTAGAGCAAAATGTGTCATTAGAAACCGCGTGAATGCAGACCAGAGACCTGGACCATGCTGAATGTAAAAACACGGCAGTGTTGCATTTGCATGTCGATATATATCCAAATATATCCACACAACTCCAAATAATAGTTTGACAGGCGCGATGTTGCTAATAGTCAGCATGTTGTCTACATATACACTAACCATGGACAATATTACGAAACTGAGGTTTGTGCTCCAATGTATTAAGGTGCACGTGTCCTCCCTGTGTAACGGGTTCTTATGTCTTTCTTTGGCCTTTACTTAAGGTGGCCTTCAAAGCATAGTGACACCTCTTTATAGAACATAGAGGAAATGCGCTTGTTTTCCATGTTACCCCCACTCAGTTTTGAAAAGTCCCACCTTTAACTCAATTTTGCCTGTAGCTAGTGGAACAGGTCAGCCGTCTTTCACTTCGTCTTAACTTTTGTTTCTTTTTCAGTTGCTGATGAAAAGATATCCACCATGGAAGTGTCAGAAACTGCTGGTATGTAGTCTGTGTTTATGCGGGATTCCCTCTGTGCCTTGTGTCACATTAATCTTGTTATTGCTTGCCTCATTTTCCTGACATGTGCAAGCCCATCGTGAACAGATAGCAGTGAACAAAGCCTATAGTGACTCTTGCATCGTGAGTTACTGAGACCCAACAGAACCTCAGTTTGCCTGAAAGCTCCATTCACCCTGTTCCTCTGTGGTAAATGGGCGGCATCTATGTAGTGTTTTTGTAGTCTACTGACCACTTTACAGCACATGACAGCATTCACACATACACTGATGGCAGAGGTTGCCATGCAAGGTGCCAACCTGCTCATCAGGAGCGGTTTAGGGGTTAGGGTTACTAGATGGCTGCTCTACACAGAGCCATGTAGTCTTATAGCATTATAAGCTTTGTATTGGCCACAGGATGCCTTTTTGCAGAATAACATTTGAGTTGAGTGTTTGACCACAAACTGAATAGTGAGCCGGCTGTCTTGATCTTGTGTCCTTGCTTCAGTGGGAGATAACGCCACAAAAAGTACAGGAACATTTTAGAGAAGCTTGAAGTGAGCCCACCATTCAAAGCAGATTAAATGTAATTTTTATGAAATATGTGTGTGCTTCTTGCTCTAAGATATCTAATATGTAGTAGTGTGCAGTTACACATGGTGTTTTTCCCCTTTCATAATGTTTACTAGTTGGAAATGGTAAAATACTAAATTATAACATTGAATCGAAATTCGGCATCAGGACCAATGATCCACACTGCCTCTGCTACCATTGTTATCAGCTCATTAATTTCTGCAGTCGTTCAAATGAATGGACCAGGACGTTTTAAATGGCTGTAGTATTTGTTTAACACTGCAGTGGAAACAATGTCACACAAGAAAAGGAAGCTCAGAAATGTGGTTGGATGTTGACAGCTGACGACCCTGACAGTTGAGGCAGAGCCACCATGTCAGGGTCGTAAAGCACACATTGTGTAATAGACATCGTAGATTAATAGTTCAGATCAAATACATAACTATTTAAAGGTAGTAAAAACATTTTACATTCATGGCACAGCACCCCAACAGTTGTGGGCCTCACCACCTAAGCATTAAATGGCAATGGTACTCATGTTCACCTTTTGTCTTAATGGACTCAGTTTACAGCTTTTGACATATCTGTAGAAATATTATAAAAACAATATGAACCTGCGTAATAATTCACTCCCTTCTGCAGAATTACCAAGCATTTTCTTTGAACATTAAATCAAAAAGAAATCTCTTCATTAGCTTAAAGGTACTAGTGTTTGCATCCCTAATTTTCTTCACAAACCTCAGCTCCTCCACAGACACCATTGTGCTTTCGACATGTGCTGCTCCTGAATGAATAATACTCTACTAGACTTTTCAAAATTTATTAGACCAAATCAATTAAATTCAATAAAAAGCAAAGATTTTTACATTATACCACCCTGTGAAAGCAGGTTTCAACCCCCCCCCCGAACATTATCATTATTTTAATAAATCTGCTTTGCGCTTGCCTCAGACTTTTCTTCTCCCAACACTCACACCTACTCCTGTGGTCTCTCACTGCAAACATACTGGCTAGCCTCGCCTCGGTCTCTCTTACCCAGTCTGCTCCACAGAACTTGTCTTTTTTCCACTTTATTCCACCCGCGATCTGTTATCACGGCAGCAGGTGCACAGCATGCCGGCTTGTTAATGACGTATGCTATGAAACCACCGAAACCCACATCTGTGATGCACTGAAAACACTGTGTTTTCAGAGTTGTGTTCATAGGACACGTAGGTCAGTGCATGCACCTGATCCGTGACTTGTAATGTAATAGGGTACCAAGTTTTTTACCGAGTGAACTCTGTGCAAGTGAACATAAGACAACCGCGCGCCCACACCCCGCCCATTTCATTGTAGACATCGTCCGATGGAAATTTTGTAGATATCGCCTAACCCTAGTGAACTTTACTGGCCTCAGACGTTCAGAAGCCAGGACTATATTCAAATCAAACTGTTCAGTACAGAAGCACACCTAAAACCAAATCATCTTTGTAGAAAAGTCACATAGTGCTACATTTACTGTTGTGCGTGTAAACGCTTTAAATCAGATAAACTTGTTTTGTAAGCAACCAGAAGTGTTAAAACACATTGAACCAGCCTTATCTTCAGGGCTGCTGAACTGTGTAGGAGGCTTTATATTGGAGTACTGTCATTGTTTCCTATTTTGTGATCTTCTTTGGTGCTCACTTGGTGTTCCTTGCTGTGCTGTAGCATTGCACTTCATAGTGAGAATGTAAACCAAACCAAATAACCTGTTGATGTTCATGTTTAACTGGTATTTATTTTACGTTGACTGGGTTACTGTGTATCAAGCTGTTGTCAACCAGAAGTAAGGAGCCAAACATAATTCAGAAATCAAAACCTGATTGGATAAAGATTGCATAAAAGGACATTTGGACAGCCTCACTGGCAGCCTTTGCAGCTACAGTACAATGTGTGTTTTGCAGACAGTTGTGTGCAAATGAATGTTAATGTAAACTGTGAAATCGAGTCAAACATCACGTTTCACCAACAATAACAAACCGACAGACTAGCTTGAACATGGTGCAGGTTCTGCCAATGCTAGCTGACAGTGGTAGAAAATTACTGCTTTTTTAACGACGGGTGATGGTAAGATAGTTTTTTTTTTTTTGTTTAGTTTTTTTAAGAATGTCGGGTATTTCTTAAAAAGTAGTTGTTTTTTTAAGGGTGAACAGGCTGAGGCTTGGTGGGTACTGTCTTTTACACAAGGTCTTTGTGACAGTTGGCTCAGAAAATATTTTCAGTAACAAAGTAAAGATGCTGCTGATGATTGAT